CGTGAGGCACCAGTTTTTAAATCAGTGTTATAAGAAGCCTCTCTTCACGTTACTCTTATCAAGTTTCATTAACTTTTAATTGTCAAATAAGATAATTGACCTCTAAGATGCAACAGTTTCAGTGTGTTCGTAAGCTTTTCGAGTTGCATTCTAAAGACCAGTTTTTTTCGTACTACTTTTGGATGCTTTTTTAATTACTCACTTAACTACTGCAGCGTTGTTTCTTTTCTATAAAAATGAAAAAGAGCTGCTAAAAGTGGCATTTTTGCATTTGAGATACAGCAGTTCCAAATACAAATTTAAAATTGCATAACAAAAATAACAATAGATTATCTGACTGTCGCCAATACAACACAGACGCTTCTCTTTTTGATTGCACTTGAAAGTAAGAAAGTTTAAGAAATGAAGCTTGAAAATTGAGAAGTTTTTGAAGGTTAACTCAATAATTAATGCTATTTATGATTCATTTTGTCTCTGTTAATTTTGATGCTTTTACATTTTTTGTGTGAAGGATCGTTATCCAGAAATTCCCAGTTGTGAACCAGCGACAACAGTTGCAAACTACGAAACAGCAGTTTTAACACCAACAACTACCTATCGAGTTAGCGAATTTTTAACATGCTATCAGTAGCTTGTATGCTGAAACACAGAAAAATTGAGGTTTTCTAATTTTCTTTGAAATGGAATAAAATCAGAAGTACATAAAAGAGTACAAAAAATAAAGTTTTTAGTGTTTACCAGCATGTGTTCGAGATGAAGTTATTATTCAAATGTATGCATCAGAATCGATGTATGGTTCTAAAGATTCCAGGGCTTACATGCTAGATGCTTCGTACAACGAATTACAGGTTTAAAAAAAAAAAAAATTTGATTACAGTTAAACCTATTGTTTTCACCGATCATAATACTTGTACTGATTCTGTTTTGCAGTATGAACTTTACAAGGAAACATTACGAACGTCTCTACCAGGTTTTGTTTCTCAGGTCGGTGGCCAGGGCGGTTTGTTTCTGGGTGCTTCCATTACTACTTTTGTGCAACTTGCTGTATCCTTTGTACAATTTTTATCTAGGCGATGCCGAAGGACAATGCAGGATTCTCAAGTAAAAGTAACTAGCTATAGAACTTTGGGTGTTTGCTAAGAAAAAACCGTTCTCCTAAAAGAACACCAACCCAAAATTATGTTAAACGTTTAAAAAATTTCATATGTCTTTTATTAGATTTCTTATGTGCCATTATCATTCTCTGCGTTTCACTGCTTTTGGAGGTATTTTGCAGTTGCAGTGGTAATATGTATGCATTGTGCTGAAAACAAAAAAAAAATTTTTTTTGATAACTATTATTAGCATGACAATTTTTTTTGGTTAGTTCATTGACATTTAAAACAACGTTTTCACCTGACTTTTATTGCTGAATAATCAAAATTTTAGCTTTTATCATTATTGTTATTACTTCACTTTTGTTGCTTGAATTTGGCTGATAAAATTGAGCATTTTTTGAACTAATTAGTACTTAATAGTTGTTTTGTTTTTTTTTTTCCTTATGTATAGTTGTACAGACCTCTATTAAACAAATTTATTTTGACTGTTCCTGCTGAATTGCTGTAAATCTCTGAAGTAATACTGATGTTCCGACTAACAACGAAAATTGATCATAGATGCAAAAATAAAAAAGCTGTTGGACTTACAGATATGATTAATTACAGTCTGTATGCCAGTGACCAACCAATTTGGCAGAAAGTGATATCTCAGATCAGCTCAAGTGAAAACTAGAAAATCGTTTTTAAATTGGCTTAAACTATCAACATTTTTACAGAGTTGCTGTTTTGCTTCTCCAACGTTTCGGCAGCATCCTTAAGCTTTGGTTGGTGTTAAATACTAAACGATTTTTTGACGATGAATAGCTGAAAATTTTGAGCCACATAGAAATATCTGGTAGCCGAATACTTCAGTGTGTTTTAGCCACTGTAAATGCAGACGAACGAGGTAGATATATTACGAGTACAACGATACAATTTGACTATTTAAAAAAAAAACAGAATCTGAATCTGTCACCATACGAATGCTAAGCAACTGGTTAAGCTGCAATCAAAACAAACGAAATTTCTTTAATATGATTAATAAAGATTGAACAGCTTTTACTCTTTCAAACAATTTTGTCGTTTCTTAGTGACAGTTTTGAAACACTTTGAAATCACTACGTTATTGTATCGGCAGAAAAAAAAAA